TTTTAATGCCACAATGTAAACCTGTTGCTTTAAATCCTTTGGGATATGTTCCAGAAGTAGGAATTAAATGCTTTTTATTATATGTTGTCGAAGAACTTGTGTTTCTTTTCATTGACCTATTAAATTGTATTGATTCAAATCTAATAGTGGAAGAAGAAAATAATATAATTTGATTATTATTAATACGAAAAGACTTTAATAAAAGTGACATTTATAAATGTATATATTAATTAACAAAGTGAAAATTATTTATGGAAAAACTTATATTAATATACCGATAATAAATATATATAATTTTTAAGTGTGAAACGAGATTATTATTATCTATCTTGATCAAAATAAAATCACATAATGATAGAAAAAATAATAGATTTTCCTCCTGCATGCCAACAACGATGTGTAACCTTAACAGTTTAAAATTAAATTCGTCGTTGTACATATTTGTAATAATAATAAGTCGTCATATCGGGGGTGGATCCCTGTGACCGAGTTATCGAATTTCACGTGATTTTTTAAATTTAAAATATTTATTTCAAACATTAGAAGATTGCGAATCAATCTTTTTATACATACTTTTGAACATAATATAATTTAATAGGAATACAAATGTATTTTCTTCATACTAGATAATCAATGATATAAGTGATGATATAAAAATAACTGATAAGATAGTAATATATTAATGCATTATTTATGATAAATAAATGATACGATCGATGATATATTAATGCATTATTCATAACAAATCATCAAATGATTAAAGCGAATCAGATATTTTATTACAAATAATCCAAATAAAAGATTATTAATTTTAAATTACACTTTACTAAAATAGTAATGACCCTTCACGTAATGAAATATCACGTGAGACCAACTTATCGTGAATTCATTTAATTATACTTGGGCTAAGTGATTGACCAACTTGGTGCTTATCGCGACTTTATATAGATCGACCCGACTTATCGAATCTTTTTAAATAGTAAAAAAAGGGGCGAAACTTTTTGGCCGAGTTAGGCCAAAACCGATTTATCAAGTTTACATATGTAATGCTAGTAATTTCGTTATAAACAGATTTTAAATTCTAAAACCCGTTATTATTATTATTATTATTATTATTATTATTATTATAACGAGGTTTGATTGTGGTATGTTGCGTTATTTGCCAACTATCTATAGTAATAGATAAAAAGGATTCTTTCTTATAATAATTACATCTAACGAGAAATTGAAACTTGCTTAAGTGTTAGTATTCACACGTGTACACCTTAATTAATTAATTAATTCCTTTTATAGATCTTTTTCAAGCTTAGTTTGAAATACAATTTAAATTTTATTACAATGTCACAATCTTAAAATAAAATAAGCAAAGATAATTTTTTGACTCTTGTATAAAAAACCAATAAACATTGCTAACTTATATGAATGATCGTCCGAACAATATTAATATAATAATAAACATAATGTAGCAATAGTAATAATGGAATATTATACCTAAAGGTTAGAGCTTCGTTAGGAATTTGATGGAACTAAAGCATGGAGCTTTGAACTAACATTCGTTTGAATATTCCTTTAAAAGTTCTATGAATGACAACAAGCATCAAACGGATGGTCATTCAAAAAAGACGACACAGCAAACAAAGAACCATAGGTTCTGTTTGCTTGCCAAGAGTATGCGTCTTCTTTCTCCACATAGTCATCAAATGCAAGTACATGATTTTGAAGAAAGACAAAAATGTGAATGGGCTTAACCAAAAAAAATATATATTTGCCAAAAGTTTAGAATAAAATAACATTATTAATTAATTAAGATTAAATTTTTTGCTTGATGGACATCAAAACATCTAAAGTTTCTGCGTGGAATGTGAAGATGAAAAATGGAATCTCATATTATTTTAATTTAAGATAAAAGTATTAACTGCATATATCCTTTGCCATAATTATTTAAGGCTATAAAATACCACCATTCAAAACGTTATTGGAGGACAAGAAACTCGATTGAACTTTCTTTTGTTTTCCATAAAAATTCTAGAATTTTTATTAGAATCCTTCAACTGGATTTAGCCTCACAAAACTTACTAAGACTTTTTGAGTAAGGATTATTGGTATTAATTAGTATAAGGAGTCGGAAATTTACTGATCTTCACATTAATAAAGTATTTTCTAAAAATAAAAATAAAAAGTTCTTGGATTGTCTATATATAGAAGTAATTTCTTTCTAGGTTTATCATTTCAATTCGTTGTCATACGAAATAACAAAAAATATTTCAAACAAAAAAAACCAAAAATGCCACCCATTACAGATAAAGATGTTATTGATAGATTGACACCTACTAGTGATCAGAGAATAACTTTAATAATAATAGGAGTATACGCGGTTGTAATCATAGTTTTATGGAAAATGCCAATCTTAAATTATATCATATATCCATTCAAAGTAACTTGTTTAATTATCTTTCTTTGAGAATTGAGAATTATAAAATTTTATTCTGTATTTAACGCAATAATTATAAATTTTAAAAAAATATAGCTATTGACTGTTGGTCTACATGAGTTCTCTCATGCTGCTGCCGGTTGTTGTACAGGCGCAAAAATTGAAGCAATTGAAATTGAACCTAACGAAGGAGGTGTTACAAGAATGGTAAATAATATAATGATTTGAGTTTGGGATCAGGAGGAAATCCAAGAATAACGTTTTGTTAATTAATATTTCCTTGTATATATATATATATGCTTGTGTTTATAGAGGGGTGGCATACAATGTTGTACCTTGCCAGCTGGTAAGAGAATTAAGCTTTTATTATTATGCAAGTAATATTATGATGATGATGATTGTATTAAAGTTTCCAATTCCAATAATATATATAGGATATCTTGGGTCATCACTTATAGGAGCGTTATTAATTTTTTGTGGATTTAATCCGTTAGCTTCAAAGGTTGCGTCAGTTGTTCTTGGTGTTATGTTAATAATAGTATTATTTTGGGCAAGAAACTGGTTGACGAGAATATTGACTATAGTCTTCGTTGGAATTATTGTTGGATTATGGTTTACTCCAGATGGTGTAGGATTAAAATATTTCGTATTATTTGTTGGGTAAGAAATTTTCCTGAAAATATAAAATTTTTTTCCCTAAAAGAAAATATTCTAAATTTTTAAAAATTTTTTTTTTAGCGTAATGTCATGTTTATATTCTGTATGGGATATTATGGATGATTTAGGTATGTAATTTTTGATCAATGATTTATAATTTTCTGCTATATTAATAATATTAATACACATATAAATATATCATTATTACAGTTTTTCGTAAAGTAAATGAATCTGACGCATCTAAATTTGCCAAACAATGTCGTTGTTGTCCAGCACAAGTTTGGGGATTTATATGGTTTTTGATTAGTCTTATCTTTTTAGCACTTGGTGTGCTTGGAGGACTTGTAGCATTCAAAACAAATGAATCTAGTTAATTGGAGCTTATTATAAATAACAATTAAAAATTTTGGAATGAAAAAAATTATTTAAACACTTACATCTTAAAATATTATTTTTTTACACCTTTTTTACTCTTTGATCCTTGGATTAGTTTAATTGTATTTTTTAACATTTCATCAATATTATCAAAACTTGATGTTTTTGTTATTGATTCAACAATTTCCAAGGAATCTTTCATATCAGAATTAGATATTTCAACATCTTTTGTTGATGAAATTAAAGATTTCTTATAACATAATATATTTAATTAATATTTGTAATAATAATAATTTAATAATAATAGAGTTTATAATATTTATGATTATTTACTTTATCTTCAATGATTTGTGGTACTCGTCTTCTAATATGTTCGCTCATATGATATAATCCAATGGATGAATCATTATATAAATGATACAAGTAATGCTCGACTTCTGCACTTGCTATTTTATCATTATAATTTAAAAAAATATTAAGATCTTAAATTGTGAAAATAATTCTAATAATTCTAATGAATGAATTAGCCAACCTCGTTTTGCTTTTTCTTTTAAATTTGCTTGTTGAGCCTGTTGATCTCCAGTGTAAACACTCCCACTAGTACCAACACTAATATTATCTCTCATTCCCCCGCCAACGCTTGCCATACTAGTTAAATAATTATTAAAACCAACACCAACAGAAGGAGAGGGAGCTTTATTCGTGTTGAAAGTTAATGAATCAGTAATAGAATTACTTAAAGAACCAAGTGAAGAAGGTGTCCAAGTTGTCATAGAGGCAGCAGCCGCTGATGGCATATTTATAATTTGCTCGGTTAATATTGAAGAAAAATTGGAAAATGTATCAGTATAATGATCGTTATTTGCTGATTTGAAATCTTCTTGGTTGGTTGTTAATTCATTTATACTAAAAGAGGTTTGTTGTTCAGGTGGCAAAGATGAAAAGAGTTTTGAGATATTTGATGACGATGGCGGTGACAATGATAATGGTGTCGTCGTCATGATGTATAGTGGTGAAACCATATTTTGCAGATCATTTAAAAAAAATTTGAAATATAATATCATGTGATCCGTATGCAATGTGTGCGTTAACTTTGCTTTGTTGGCTTCTTTTTATTAATAAAAAGGAAATAAATAATAATAATGACCATTCCATGGAAAAAAAATTGTTACACGAAATTATTCGGTCTCAATTTTGTGCTAAAAGTTAATAATAAAATTATCGGTATTTAGTATTTTGAAGCTGACCAATTGTTATAATAACAATAAGCAATTAATTGATTGTATATATTAGTGTGATATTTATTTGATGAATAAAAAATTTTTAAAATAACATTTATAATTAAAAAAGATCATCACAAAAATTCTATAAATTACACAAAGGCAATTTTCTTTCTTTTTTTTTTTTCCTCAACATTTACAATTTTATATTAATAAAACAACAAAAATGAATATTATTACATCGTTTAATGCATCTTTAAATGGAATATTAAGTGAAATATTAAGTGAATTAGCGGATGAGTCGAATTACTATGATGATTCATTAAGTGAAATTCGCCAATCAAATAAAATGATAAGGTCATTAAAACAAATAATTGATACTTTAAATATAATTGAAGCCTGCAACAATAGTAAAGATGGTTGCAAGGAAAGGCTTTTAAAAAAGAAAGAATACAAAACTTATAAAATGTTAATAGACGAATTAGCAGAAGTGTCAGCCGATAAACTAAATGAAAGATTAATTGAATTAGATGATAAATTAAATTACAAAGTTGTATGTCATAAATGTCGAAAGGAAAAAGTTACAAAGTTGTCTGAAGAATGTGGGGATGAAGAGTTGGCTGAATTTCTTTATAAATGTAGATTAAATACAGATTTTAAAGATTATATGAAATGGATTCCGTATGATGAATTTGGAGAAATAAACTATCTGGCTAGAGGTGGATTTGGTGAAGTTTATAAAGCGAAATGGTTTGATTCTCATTCTAACGGGAGAATGGTTGTATTAAAAAAATTATATGATTCAAATAATAAAATTCTAGATATTTTACAAGAGGTAATAAATAAATTTATTAATTGGTTGAATATTATTACCATTATCATCATCATCATCATAATCATCATCATTATTATTAATTCTATTAAATATTAATTAATTAATTTCTATTTATTATTAGTTGGAAGCGCACAATATAATCGATTTTGTTAATAAATGTTATGGAATTACAAAAGACCCAAGCACGACCGATTATTTACTAGTATTTAGTTATGCTCAAGGTGGAGATTTACATAATTATTTATCACGTCATTTCTCTATTATTACTTGGGAATATAAAATTCAATCACTTTATACTATTTCATCTGGGTAAGTTTTTTAATTAATTATTGTTGTTGTTGTTGTTAATAATTATAATAATATTATTATTGAAATTAACGATTATATTTTTATTTTTCATTTCTACAGATTAAAAGAAATCCATAAAAATGATTATGTTCATCATGATTTACATAGTGGCAATATTTTTTCATATTTGATGAACCATTGTTTAATTGGCGATTTAGGATTATGTCAAAAATTTAGCGAAGATGGTAATCAAAAAGAAGTTTATGGTGTAGTTGCATACTTAGCTCCTGAAGTATTATCAAGTAGGATATATACAAAAGAATCTGACATTTATAGTTTTGGCATGATAATGTGGGAGTTCACCACAGGTCATAAACCTTTTTATGACACACCACATGATTATGAGCTTATAATGAAAATAGTAGAGGGCGAGAGACCAGTTATCACCAACGATACACCTAAATTCTATGCTGAATTAATGAAAAGATGTTGGGATACTAATCCAGAAAAGAGACCTAGTGCCGAGGAAATTACAAATTATTTAAAAGAATTTGTTTACAATTCTACTAAAGAACAAAAAGAAATAGTTCAATCAGCAGAAAAAAACCGGGAAGAAATCATTAATTCGGAAAAATATTTATTACAAATAAAAAATTATAAACAACATCCAGAAGCATTCTATACGAGTCGTCCAATAAGTAATTTAATTCAGCAAGCTCATGATTTATCAAATTTAAGGGTCAGGCAAGGTGCTACAATAAATTACAATTTTAGTAGCAATGTAGTTTTCACTAATAATTAGAATATTTCTTTTTTACTTGTTAAAACTTTTGAAATATAATCAATAATCATAATATTAATAAATAAAATAATATATTACAAATAATTGTAGTTTGTTATAATGTTTTCTTTTATACGACCTGTAGTAGATGATAAATACATACGTGGATTATCTCCCCAATCACCATTAGGATAAATTAATTACTCCATCTAAAACGGTCGCTAACCCCAGAATATTTGTCTTGTTAAAGCTATATATATTTATACATACGTATAATGAATTGAACTAAATTAATATTTATTATAAAATCTTAAACAGCTAAAATATTATTTCCTTCGTGTGACCCGATTCTATTAATAAGTGTACAACATTGTGATCAGCTGGATCTTGATAAATTCCAAATCCAACCACATCTTCATCTCCATGATAATTTTTATAACTAAGTGGCAATACAGCTTGCGGCCAAATATATTATTATAAGAGAAAAGGCGAGGAAGGGAAAAGGTGGGATGAGAAATTATATTTTGGTTGAAAACAAAAAATAATCCAAGATCAATGACAATGATAATAAACTGCGAATGAAAGGAATGTGAAGACTAATATAATTGAATGTTTCTTAGTAAATTCCCACAAACAAGTTTTCACACGCTTTGTGATTTCCTTTCCCTAATAAAATACAATGTAAGTTTACCACAAATTGTTGCAGTTGTGGTTACTTTAATGTAAAAGCGAAGCGTAGTCCTATATAATACATTTATGATTTTTAGTTTACTTATCAACAGCTGTAGTTTATATTTAATAAAGTGACTTGACATTCTTTCCATCAGCTAAATTATATATAACATTTAATTTTATTCATTGGAATTTAATCAAAAAAAAAAAGAGAAAATAATTTTAATCAACAATAGTTTTACGCAAGTTTGTTTATTCCTATTCATTTTTAATCCAAATATCCAAGTTATAAAAATTCCGGATCTAAATTCATCAATTAATATTTTCACCTCTTGGAGTTGTTTTCTTTTCATTCTCGTGGCGATGATGTGGAATATGTAAATAGTTTAATAATTTATGTCCAAATGTTTTCTTCTTAGAATTATTGTCGCGCTTATCAACTTTATATTTGTTATCATTAGATTTATCTTTATTAGGATCTCGAGAATGTGGGAAATGATGTTTTAAAGAATGTAAAATTTTATGAATCAGATCTTTTTGCCTATTCGTCGCTTGTTCTTTTTTATCATCATCATTATCATTATTGAATTCTTCTTCTTCGATGACAACAATAATATCATCAAAATCGTCGAAATTCATAATGATTTTTATTGTTTCGACCGTTAAAAATTTAAAATGATGGGCAAGAATGAAATAGTGATATCACTATGACCATTATGATGACATAATCGGTAAGAAACATGCAAACCATTCTTTTAGATCATAATTCATAAATATGATTATAAAGCATATAATTAGCGTGCTCATTTACATATTCGCATATTTATTGTTTTATTAATTATCTAGCCTTCTTTGTATAAATCCTATATCAGGGAATAATGTCTGTCTGGCAATATTATGATTATAATTAAAAAATAAGTAACTGACGTTGCCCTTGTGGAAGTTGAAAGTGTGCTATGCAGTTGCCCATGGAGAAATGCTTTCTTCTGCTAATAAAATTATATAGAATTACGTTAGGTTCCTAATCGGGATCATTCTAAATAAAATAATCTACTTACGTTATTCTATTTTCGAATGAATAAAAAAAATAAGCGTAATTCATCATTCAATCTTTAAAACACATATTTGGCGCATGTCATTGCCTTTTTGTGTTCGGATTACGGACTAGCGGTACAAAAACCAGCGGCTGATTGCACAAATTTTGCACGACATTGTTTTGCAAATAGAATAAAGAATGGAACTATGGTATACTTGCCGCCCAATCCCGAATCCAAACCCCTGAAATATTACGAAACTAGCACAAATTTAGTAATTTATACAAGAATGTGAATTTAGGATTTTAAGTTTGGGCGGCAAATGTAATTGTGGGTTTCAATCGTCATGCATTCCACGGACTTTATGAACAGAATCTTCGAAAAATTTTATACTTCCAAGGAAAAGCTGTGCAAGTGAGATTGGTTCGAATATTGACAAATGATTATTTTCTAATCATTAGGAGTATCTTTACCATTATAAAAATCATTGGTGGAAACAGTACAACAATGAGTCTCGGTTTATCGGATGTTTTTTTCCAGGAAATTTATCCGCCAATATTAAACCGAGAGATCCGCAAAAGCGAATCTCGTGATATAAATTAAAATACAAAAAAAAATTATTTAATAATAATAATAAACATCAAATAAATATATATGTATATAAAAAAAATAAACAAAAATAAAAATATAACGATAATATTAATATCATTGTTGACTCATTAATTCGTCAATTCGACATTGTTTTGCTTCTTTGGTACTTCTATCACCGATAAGAAATTTCGTTTATTCTGTTTTATTCGTATATCATTTAGGGATATAAAATTAGACTAGCCAAAAAAGGTAAGTATTAATATCGAGAGAAGTTTTATTATTATTATTATTATATTAACAGCATGGAATCATCCATTAATATTTGCCCTGGAAATGCACGGAATTTTCGGAAAATGACCTGAAAATTGCATTCCGTGCATTTTCCGTCTTAATATCCACGGAAAATGCACGGGATCGGAATGTATTTTCAGGATAAATATGTACCGAAAAACGCTCTTTCATGTATAATTCCGTACATATTAATATTCCATGCAAAATACACGGAAAAACTATACATTTTCTGAGGAGATTTTTTATAGGGCACCAATCTTTACAATAAATATAATCATTAGCGTGATTTTTCTATTTATAAATATGCTTTCATTAGTTCTCTTATTAGATCATCAAATTTGCCGGAGGCATTCTTTATTGTGTTATCAAACCATTTACTACATATATAGATGGAACCGAAATATTCCTAAATTTAATTGATCGACAAACGCGTGTTTTTATTAGTATTAGTGTTGTGCAATGAAGCCCCTTTTTTTGGGACGCGAATCAATTTTTTTTTAGCAAGACGAGTGGACTAGGCAGGCATTCATCAATAAACATACTACAAGTATTGTTATTTGGTACGGTTAGTTCTAAAGAGAAAGAGTTGTTTTTTTTTATAAATCTTATTGAAATCGAAACGCGGAATGGGAATTTGTCACGTCTTCTAGGCGATTATTACAAGGCTCTCTATGTCATAACGAATGATTGGTATTATCTTGCCTTTTGTAACCGTTATTAACATTAAGTTATAGTATTAGGCAACATGAATGTTAAAGATGGGAGAGAAAACATTTCGACATGCAACATTTGATTATCAGAAACTTACAGGTGTTAGAGTATACTACTCCAATAAAACAGTCATTCCCATCTTTTCCTCATGTACATATGGCTAATTTTGATCACATTTCCCTCGATGACACAATGAGACTTGCATGGATCCTGATCTTCCCTCACAGCACCTAGACTGGCATTATTTAGAGAAGGTCTCAGATTTTGTTTGGTACGTTCCATTTGGATTAATCATTTTTCGAAATTCTCTGACACTTTTCACTTGATTAACTCTATTTATTCTTTAAAGAGGGCAGGGAACCTCTACCTTAGGTCCAAGCTTTTATTTATTCCACCAACAAAACAGTAACTCAGCAGCCTGCTGGGCACCAGGACTAAATACACAAGACTATATGGCAATAGTCAAGCCTGGTCTGAGGGGAAGATTTTGCCAACTTTTCCAACAGAAGGTGAAAAGGATTCCAGAGTTATGAGGCGTGTTAAAAGCACCCAAACTCACGTTTGTAGTAGGAAAATTTTCAAATCTGATGCCTGTGTTCAGGTAACTCTATCTCTACATCACCTCTCAATCACCTCCAAAAATGATTATCAACCACCCAACCAAATTCATTTCTAACCAAGCCACATCATCTGATTCACCACCATCAAAAATGCCAAGTCACAATATGCATTGAACATATTAGATGTTGTCCAATACCAGCCCTCCTATGATAGATTTTATTCATGGTTTTTAAGGAATTATATAACTGGGAAGGCAAAGTAATTTTTGGAAAATTTTTGGAGTAGAATTATTTATTTTGTTCAAAACGAGTTCCTTAAAAGTTTCATCTTGGTATTATCATTACTTGGGTGGCATTAACCCTTCGTAAAAAGAAACAGACTCAAATAATAATCATCATGTAGTAATAGACATAATACAATAGTGGGAACAAAGTTATAGGAAAGGATTAAATAATAACGAAAAAGATAGGTAGGTAATGTTTTATTTGTCTTGATCCAATCACGAGAAAAATACAAGATAATTATAATAATTTTAATATATACTAGAAAAATAAAAATAACAGATGAGACATTATAAGGTCATCAGTATCATGTTAAACAATTTTTGATCCCTGGAACCTTGGTAATACAAATGCTCACTTTGTTGAAGCACACCTCATATAAAATTTTATAGGACTTCACCAATTAAAAATATAGAAATCCAATTATCTTTGAAAAAAAACCTTGACGTGAAAGTTTTTTGACAACTGCACCAAAGACTACATACATAATAACGTGTTGAAAATTTTTAGATATGATAGTTTGTTTCTTTTGATATGACTTTTATTGTGTTAATAGAGATTTTGAACTAAATTTTATATGCATAATCTACAGAGCCTATGCTACAAACTGATATAAATTATATGTGCGCTTGCTATATATGTTTTTGTGTAATTAATACATTTGGGTGTCCTATACTTTTGTCATGTATCGTATATATAAATAAATAAATATATATACACTATTATATACAGAACAAAAATAAATAAATAAACAAATTAATTAATTAATAATAATAATAAATAAATTCTATATATTAATTATATTTGAAAAAAAAAACTAAAAATTATATAATCGAGAAAACAATTTTAATAATATTATTTATCATATTGTCATGAAGATTCAGAATCTGTTGAACTTTTTCCAGGTATTATGATTTTAAATTTATCTTCAGTTGGATTATAATTGATTCCATTTTGCTCAAGTGTTTTCTGAATTTTTTCAAGAACAATTTGATTTTGTTGAGATATTTTCATCAAAAGTTTCACTTGTTGTAATAGTATATCTTGATTATTTACTATCTCATTATTCATTGAGGAGGATCCACGATTTACATGGGATGCAAAGGATTGCGTACTTTCAAAGCTTTCTCTCATTTCAGTCCCTGTATATGTTGGGAGAAGAGATGAAAAGATGAAAAGATGAAAAGATGTAATGAAGAAACGAAAGAAAGATATATGATATGATATCAAATAAAGAAAATATCAAGAGAAAGAGATGATATGGAATGTATAGTAATAATATAATAATGTTATTATAATAATTATACTAGAATAATAATATTATCACCCTTCTCGTTGTTGTTATTATTATTATTATTTACCAATTGGATATCTTTGATCTTCATTATCATCTTCGCTATTAGTATCGGGATTGTTGGAATTTTCCTTTAAAAAAAATTTTTTTATATTTTAATGAAAACAAATATTTATATTATTATTAATGACAACAGTAAGACATACTCTCGCATTAGCTGTTGATCTACGATATTGTCTCATTGCCTCCCAAACTATTGTAAAATGTCTTCCAACAATAATTGATGGTAGAGCAATGAGCTAATATACATATATATATAAACATACAAAAATATTAGTATTATAATAATAATAATATTATTATTATTATAAGCATTTACCAATAATAATTACCAGTATACCACACATCATAGCAGGAAATGCTATTAATTTTCCAACAAATGTTGTAGGAACCATATCACCGTATCCCGTGGTAGTAATAGTAACCATTACAAACCAAAAGGCTGAAGGAATACTATCAAATGAACTGTAGAGGTAGTATAAATATGAATATTTATACATATATATATTTATATCGAGATTTAGAATAGTATTGATTCAACCTTGGATAACCTTTACTATCAACAAATATTTGTTTCTCTTGATCCCATGTTCCTTTTTTATTTTTTATTTTTAATTATTAGAAAAAAAATTTTAATTGATATCCAACAAATAACAACAACAATAATAAGTTCATTTTTTTCAAAAAATAAAGTAAAAAAATAATTTACCTCTTTCAGCAAAATATATCAAAGTTGAAAATAACACTATACTTGTAATCATAAAGAAAAACAGTGCTCCTAAAGCATCCATGCTTCTTTTAACTGCTACTATCATAACCTCAATTGTCATAATTATGGTTGAAGAATATTTGAATGCTTTAAATACACGTAGAAGACGAAATAATCGAAGGATGGTAAATCGAAAATCATACGTCTATACACGTCAAACATTAAACAGATTTTAATTATATTTATTCATAAATACATGATGACATTATTATAATAACTCCAATGAAAGGAAATCTTACCGTGTCATGATGAAATCCCAATTCGATATAATATGGAATTATTGCAATGAAATCGATAATAGCAAGGGGAGCTAATTCAACCCAGAAAATCGGAGATTTTCGAATTGTTGATAATTGATGAAAACAAATCAATCTGAAAGACACCAAGAACACATTTGCCCAAGATCTCATAAAAAAGAAAAAATTCAAGAATATATATATATATATAATATACATATAAATAAACTATTTACCCTTTATGAATTTCCATAATTGTTTGATTGAATCTGAATGTGCTAGAAGTCTTAGAGCATATTCTATTGTAAACACTGCTACTATTGTAGTCTCGAAATTAAACCTAAATTGATGATTAATTAGTTATTGAATTGAATGTTAAATAAATTTACATAATCTTTTACATACCATACTGAGCTGGCAGTAGATCTATAAGTTGGTATTGTCTCAATGGTTGTCAATACAGCACTCAAAACAATTGAAAAGGATACAAATACATGAACCATAAATGCTGCATTACTTGAAGACGGATCTTCTAATAATAAAAATAGCTCTCTTTTCCAATCTGTTCGCATCGAATTAGCTTCAGTATTATTAGCAGAACTTCTATCAAACGATTCGTTTACGCTTCTTAATTCTTCAGGTATCCCTGTTAATTCCCATTCATCTTCGTTTAAACCAAGCCCAGTGAAGGTATTTCTATGTGATGAAGGGGTGGTAGAGGAAGTAGGGGAAATAGGTGAGAAGTGAACATGAGGTTGTGCAGAAGTCGACGATCTACTTTGCGAAATTGGCTGCTCTGTTGATGATGATGATATCTCTTCTAAAGGTATCGTTTGTTGCTGATTAGAAAAAGATACATCGCTTTCGGTTGAAAGTTTTGTAAATTGACGATGTTTCGTCATTCTTTTTTTTTTTTTTTGTCTTTCTTTTTGGGAAATGAAGTTTTATTTTTAATGTTTACAATTAATTATCGTGTGAAATTTCCGAATTCTACTAAATTAACGACATAATAATAATAATAATAATAGTGTGTCCATTCAAGTAATCTTCACTTTAGAATAAATTTTTTTTGCTTTTTTTTTATGATTCAAATCACCATAGTGTTATGGATGTATTCTCCAGATGAGAAACGTTGGTTATTATGTACGTTTCAACATTGTTAGCATGAATTTTCAAAGTATAAATCAATCTGTAAGTTTGTGGAAAAGAACTTAAAAAATTTAAATATGATCGTATAGTTTATTCATGCGAGTGGGAAGATTGTAATAAATATTATTTATTATATATAGTGTAAGAATCATACATAATTATCATTAATTAATTTATTTCTTAAACAAATCATGAGGCAAAATTACTTTTGTAATTAAAATTATTAATATTGTTTTTGAATATTTGTAAAATAGTCACCAAACAAAGAAAATTAAATAATGATAATGATAAATTAATTAATAATAACTAGGATATCTTACTGGCTTGATTCTGTCTACAATTATGAAAATTCAGGTAGAATGATTTCCTGCATGATTGAAGGATATCTTTATTCATTTGAGAAATATGATCTAGATTGACATTTAAAAAGTTTTCACAATTAATAAATAGCTGAAATCAATAATTATTATAATTATTGATTTTTCTTCTCAATAACTTCATCTTGAACTATTGACCACCGTGATGGAACAAAAGGTTTTATTCTAAACGAATTTCCAGATTGATTTTCAATTACCAAATTTTCATCATTTATCTTATCCAATATTACCTACTGAGTATCCTTTTTTATTATTATATGAGATGAAGGAAGAACTGGTGATGGTGTATTTGCGATTAACAACTAAGGCTGTTGATTTATTTTCATTATATATATATGTATACACACACACATACAGCAACCTAAAACAAATGTTTTAATAAAGTAGTTTCAAAGAAGAAATTACCTTTCATCTCCACAACAGTTGTATTGGAATAATTTTTTTTCTTGTTGCCCCAGTATGATATATACGAAATGTAAGTCCTTGACCATATATAACAGCCTCTATGAACATCAACTAAAGGATTGCATTAACTTATTCAGCAACAATCAATTTTGAGCAACCCTGTTATATTATTAGAGGATCCCCAAAACTAGCAGTTTGCTTAACTAGTACTAGTGCGTGTAACATTTATTTGAATACCACCAATAGCTGATAATTGCTGCGGCGCAACCAAGTGAACTAACTCTTTTTAATTTTAAATAATAATGGACGTTACACTTTATCTTATTAACTAGCTGATTTGCAAAAAAAATTACCACTTGGCGAAGAGAGCTTTGGCCCATTTGTTTCAGCTGCAGCATACATGATCAATTTCAACATCCGCAATTAGAATCAAAGTGAAGATTTTCATCCGTTATATAGACCTCCCAAGCATGTCATTATTCAAGAAGTAAAAGTGATGCTCCTCAACAACGACAACCCGCAATACCACAAAAGTGATTGTACAAAAAGAAACTACTTACTTTGATATCAATGGAAGTCATGCATCAAGGCAACAATTTCTTCTGCAGAATGCCTTCGCTTTTACCGTGCTCAAAACCCAAGGATTGACGTTGCCTCATGTAATTGTCAACATCGATGAAAATATGTTTGCGCCTGGTAAAGTATATGTAGCTATGAGCAGAGTACCTTCTTGGGATTCGCTCGAGATATTGGATTTCCGACTTTTCTTGTATAAAAATTGATCAATCTGTGACTTGAGAATACACAAGATAGAAAGGCGCGAACCAGACAAATTAAAAGTAGCGAAAACAATTGATTAATGTTTAATTAACATATACGAACGAGAATCTCGGATTTAAAAAAAAAGTTTTTTATTAATTGATTGCAAAAACAAACCTTTTAATTTGTGAATTGTTTATTTAATCCATATGACACGTGAAGTAACATAATCATCCGAAAATTAGCACATGTGAAAGCGCCATTATATTATTTAATGTTGATATGACTCGTGAAGTAACATTAATCTGATATGAAATGTTAATCCTATCCGAGAATTAGCATTGTGAAGACTCCTCCACCTTAATACAATAATTTCACAAAAAATTTCACTGCTAAAATAATACATAAATTTTATATAAATACAAATTGAAAATTTTCTCAGACAGGCAGGCAGTTAGGCAGTCAGGCAGCCTTCAAGTTTTCAAGTTTTCAAAGATTTTTTTAAATCTAACACGTAAACAAAAATAAATTTTTTTATTTTTTTATTTTATTTTTGGACAACCACATTGCCATCCGCACCGCAACCACCACCAACAATGCCAATACAGCCACTACCAGCAAGCACTGGATGAGCGGTGGCAGGAAACTTTATTCTACCTCGAAGTACCAGGCCGGGAAGCGTTGACTGTCTGAACCAACACGAAGCTTCATTCGCTAAACGGGTCATTAGGGGGTTGTTTTAAAGGTGTCCCAAATTATCGAGTTCGACTGCGGGAGCGCGGCCTGATTATAGTTTAGATCCTAAATAGCAAATGATATTTAAATATATTAAAATCGACATGCAAAAGTCGGCTTTAATAAAATTGATTTATTCCATCGTTATACATTGTCCTTCCTTTCTTTTCTCCTTCTCGTTTTCTTTCTAGTTTTGTTACGAATTTTCTTTGACAACCATATTCCAACTCTATATATTGGTTCACACAAACTTAATATTATATTATTAAGAGCACGTAATTATGGTGCTGTTTCAAAGAAATTACTTTTTGGAGAAATTTACGTTGTATGTAGTGTTACGACTCGGATTGTTAATGGATTAACGTTATTATTATTATTATTATTATTATTATTATTATTATTATTATTATTATTATTATGGACCCGTTAAGAATCCGTTAGGATTTTTTTTCATCCGGATTGGTAACGACGTTAAAATGGCAAATAATATTAATAATATGATATTAAAAACATTTATTTATTGGAATTTAAAATAATAAAACATTTATTTATTTAATTACTATTTTTTAATGAATTGTTTCGTGAGTCATTTCTTTTTAAGCGCACCGTATTTATTAAAATCGACGCGATTTGAATTCATACAACAACTATATAGGATGGTTAGATTCACCAATAAAGTATTTATTATAATCATGTTTGTGAAGGCCAAATAGAGCCATAATAAAATTTTATTTATATGAAATATATTAATGATAATGTTTTATATACAGAGTGTTATTAAAACTATTAACCAAACCTAATAAACACTTAACAAGAAAATCACATGATAGATTGGGGTTGAAAAAATAGAATTAAATAGCAAATTGCCGATCGGTATACGAATAAGATGGAGGATATTGAGGGGCAGGTGACTGATTGACCATTCCTATGCTCATATTTCTGTTACTGTTAGAACAATCGATGACACTTCCTTCAGTTGCGTCTTGTCCTCCAATGTAAAATGCAGGAATTGATAAGAATGAGAATACGAGAGATATAATCACAAGAGCAAATCCAATGACGCCAAATTTTGTAGTTCCACTACTAGGTGACATATTATAATCATAATCGATTTTTAAATAAAGGTCAATTTGTCCTCCCATTGCTAACAAAATGACAAAAGAACTGAATAATACGAAGGCCCGTGTCACTCCTTTATGCTTAATATGACCATGACGAGCATAAATGCCAATGCAAAACAATATGAACGATGTTATTACGCCTAAAATAAATTCAAAACAATAAACAATAATTAATTTATATGTATAATATTAATATTTTTGGTATAATGAATAAGTAAGCAGCACATTACCAATAGCATGCATAGACAACAAAAATTTTGTGCTTCCATTTGAAATGTAAAAATCGTCATCAAGACCACTCTTCGTGCATTTTTTGGTGTCGGATTGTAGACAAGCACCATATATTCCAAATATAATTTTTTCGCGTATTAGACCGGCGACACTTCCTTCAGCAGTCACAACATAAATTTGCTTGATAATTGGCGTCCCCAAGTTCACTAAAAGAAGAGACATGGACGAGACAAAAGACAAAGCAGCTGCAGTAGTATTTGCGTATTTAGCGGGAACCATCCCTAAAGAATAGAGTAAAGGAATATGAAGAATGATAAAAATTATTGATGATATTTTAATGAAAAAATAGTAATTATTTTTCAAAAACCAAGTGGAAAATTTATTTTTATTTCCTGCCGTATTTTTCTCATTTAAATGTGTTATCGTTATGCAAGCAACTCAATTTGATATCAAAAAGAAACATTTTCAAGACACACCAAAATTGTTCGTCATGCTTATTAGAAAGTAGATATTATTCGATTGTTATTATGTACTAGTACTAGTATTAGTATTAGTTGATTGTTTTTAGTTGATTATTAATCGATATTTTTCAGAAGTCATGCCATGCTGTGTAACTGTATAATTTTAAAAATAACTCGTGTATATTAATATCAATATTAATATGTTGACCAGTTTTTCAATTTAATTTAATTTTAAATTTTTTATTAATTAAACATAAGAATAAAAAATTCAATTTCGTGCGCTTTTTCACTTAAAAAGGAAGTTTATTATTATGTATATTTTTAGACTTTTGTTCAAAAAAAGATTTTTCAAAAAAAAAAAAAAAGGAAATTCGAAAATGGTTGCATTTTGTTCAACAATAACACTGATGTTAAGGCCAAAATTTTTTTAACGAACAAAAGAAAACTTGAATCACTGTGGCTTTATTTTTATTATGATAACGATAAATTTGTTTAGTTTGATTTACATTTTCGACCAATTTATTTAATCCCAAAACGGCTAATATCTATTTATAAATATTTTTCGCCATATCTATCAAGTTTTTTTTTAGAATTTGAAAAAAAAGCCAGCCAAATCATCTCTTTCATTTGTTTATCCGTATGCTTTATTAAAACTATCTCTTCTACCGAAAACGTGATAAGTGGATGCGCTTTGTATAAATCAAGCCAATCACATTCAGTACAAGGAGGTTTTAACGATTATAACGTGGTCGAGTTTGGGGAAGCATGTTGGTTTATTTTGTAGGTCAATATGTGTACGAGAATAACATAGAACATGTACGTAATAATAATTAATGGATTTCAAAGTTTCGCAAAAAAATGCTCAAGGTGGGAAAACCCCCGGTCCAGACTGAATAGACCGCGGTCTGGTCTTAGATATCAAAGACCATTTGGACCGTTAAATTTTTTCTTATCATTTTTCAATTTAATTTGTTTAACATATTATTTTATTATCATAATTCAAATTATTATATAATATATTTCAAAAAGAATATATACAGTTTTATAAATTTTATCACGTAAATTGATTAATTAGTAAATTTTTAATTATATCAAAGATTTTATTCTGCAACAAATTGACGAAATTGATCTTGTTCTACCACTAAAAATGATTGTAAATTTACAGCAATCTATTCAATCATACATATTTAGATTCAGTTTCGTTATAAGGTCGAAATTTGTGTGGAAATGTAGAGGTTGCACAAGAAGATTTGTTTCATTTTTGAATCCATACGTTGAATCAGGAAGAGTAGCAAAAGTTTCAATACTTTCATAACCATCACTAATGGTATGATAAACTCATTAGAATTAATGTCCATCGAAAATTATTATTGGATTCTAACGTAGACGTTTTCAAAAAAAAAAAATTTTATTTTTATTGATCATAATGGTTTATTAATATTATTTAAAACCAATCAAAAGAACAAGTTTTCATTTCTGAGACCCCATATCGGACCATCAACAACCCTAATAATACATTCATCTAGAAATTCAAAGCAATGACTTATATATATCATTGGGAGGTTTATAATAATATGGATATGGCACAATCAGATTATGATTGCGACTATAATGCTTTTGGTACGGGAAAAAAATTCAAGTAATACGTTATACATTGAGTATAGGTAATGAAACTATTGCTTTAAAAATTGAGGTCTGGCCAAATTAAAAATAATATATAAGAATCCCAATTTAATTTTTTTGTATATGTTATAAAGTTTCACAAAAAATTTCATAAAAAGGCTCATTGTGCATTTTCTGCTAAAATCTTGTTTTAATGTAAAAAAAGGATTTTGCAAAACGTGTGATTGATTTTAAGGATACCAGCTGCAACTTTTGATGATGGTTGCAATTAATTGCCTTTGTGTCGTGTAAAAATGATCGCGACATCTGGTTGCAACCATTTTGTCTCCTTTTTTGGGTTGCAACACGGAACACCATTTTATTTGTTGAAATTTATGCTATAACCTGTTTATAGAGTTGTTTTCCGCAGGATTTGTTTTCTTAATAGTTCCAAGCCGAGATACTTTAAGAACCATCAGAGCCAAGTCCGTTTCATAGAATTAGATGACATAACGACGACGGGATAATTTACATCTACATAGATGATGATGATCTTAAGTTATGTATAAATTTAAACAAAAAAAACTTTAAATTTATAAAATTCACCATGGATGACTGTTACAACTTCCTTTGCTTGAATATTATTATTAAAGGTTTTTTATTAATTAATTCATGTATAGCAAGACTGAAAGTGTTGAAACCCAGGATTCAAACGACTTGAAGTGTACATGACAGCCAGCATCCACTGTATCTATCATATATTTAAACACTCCTGTGGTCAAGACTTCAATTGAGCCCTTCACTTTGATTGACAAATACTTACCTTGAGAATCAAAAAGGCTCGGATGCAAGGCTAACAGGCTCAGAGTCCCATCATACCATTCACTTCTTCCTTTCATCATGCTCTCCAGGTCTTAGACATGGAGTTAATCTTTATGTTCAGACGGACGACAGAATCAGTAAGCCTGCCTTATACTCCTATTTGATACTGTTCAGTATTTTTTTGATAAATAATTAATTGATGGTGGTGCCATTCTTTGTCTAACTAATCATTTGTTGTAATTATTGTTGTTGTAATTTGAGTTGAAGATACCGTTGATCAAGTGCTGTTTGAAGAAGAATGTTGAACAGAATGCATTGTTTGTGTTGATTGAGCAGATTGTTGTATTGATTGAATTGGATATATTTATGTCCAAGTAATAATAATAATTTAATGGAAAAGAATGTTTCTTTTTCTTTTTAAAAAAAAAAAAAAATTTATTAATGGAAAATATTATATACAGAAAGGTTCTTTTTATGGAATATACAGAACCCTACCAAAAATAGCAATTCATTCTATAAAAAAGGAAACTAAATTGTAGCTCAAAATTTTTGTAAAACCAATGTGACATTTATCACAGACGTGATGATTAAATTTGTGGGCTGGGGGTGGCAGGAATTACAAACTCTAAGAATTAATCCTTATTTGTCACATAGGTTCTGTATATTTCATAAAAAGAACCTTTCTGTATATAATATTACCCTTAATATAAATTATATCACTTATTTTAAGCTAAAAGAAAATGGAAAGTTATGTATATATGATACAAAATTTTATGCAAAAAAAGCTCTCTATATGCCTAAAGGGCGTCAAAATGCGAATCCAAACCATGTCATTTTATTTTGATATGTCATATAGTTTAAGTGTTATTTTGATTTTTGTAATCTTGTGAAATTTCCTTGAGGAATTTCTTATATTCACAGAATCAAGTGCATCTGAACTTCACAAATTTCCACTAATATATAGTTTTGTTAAGCACAGAATTTGGTCTATTATTGTACATCAACAACAGATTGAAGGTATGTTTAATAAGTATGATATTAAAACCCATCCTAACCAAACAATTTGTTTACAAGAGGCTTGTATGCAAATGTCCTGTTCTAAAGATAAAGATATTATAATTACTAAAGAAAAATTAGCTGAAATTCGCAATGAGATCCAAGAAAAAAGTAATAATAATAGTAAAGAAAGTGCTGGATTTTGAGACATGGCAGTGAAATAAATCCACGAATTTATATATGTGATTACCCATTCTGTTATGTTCAAACTCCTAAATTGTGTTAAATTGTCAAACTTATGAGCAAAGTTTTATGATAAATAAAACTGATTTATCAAAGTGCTGTCCAATTGCATGCCAGCCACCATCATTAATTAGCCTTATGTCTTGAATTATTTATTGCATCTTGAATTGACTTGAGTTATGTCTTGCATCACAAATTGTCTTGAATTACATCTTGTATCATGAATTGACTTGAGTTATGTCTTCACAAATTGTTTTGCATCACACATAACACCAATAAACCAATATAATTGTTTTGCCTTTTATTTTTTATTTAATAAAATTTAGGTGAATAAAAAACTTTATTATTATGTAATCACAAAATTTTCTTATAAACCAGAAATCAACCCATTCAGAACTTTAATTAACAATCCTGACAAATATATTGATTTTCATTATGATCATTATTGTATATGTAAAACAATATATATAAATGTTGAATATAAAAATACTAATAAAATAAGAAATAAATAATATTAAATGATAATAAGAGGCATGTGATAGATCACTTCAATCAGGTTAAAATACAAGGAGGGTTTGTTTTAATTTAAAATAGATAGCATGTAATCATTTTTTTTGATAATAATAAAAGGTGTTTATTCACCATATAACACTTCCTTATAATAATAAAAAACTAATGTGAAAATTCAATAATCAGGTAAATAAAATTTATTCATAAATTAGATGAATTGTCTGGTATAGTTAATTCAATTTGTTTGGAATCTAGCATAGTTAATTCAATTTGTTTAGATTCTATAGTATTTAGAATATATAATTTAAAATATCATTAATAATAAATAATTAAGGTTAAATATATAACAATAAATTAGATGATTACCATTATTGTTACTAATAATTGTAACTTTATTGGAATTCACAGGTTGAGGAAGATTTGTAAAATTCAATAATCTACTTGTATAAACAGCATTTGGATGAACAGTTGCCATAATTGT